ATTGCTACTTTTATAATTATTTATGTGACTACTTATACTTTATTGTCATAATATATAATTTTAGTATTTCTTTAATTGTTTTAAACTATTATAATGTATTGAGTTCTGCTCCGGGACAAGGGATTTTACAGGCATCCGCCGACTACAATGTTTAAAATAAAAAAAAAATATTCAGCAAACACCAGGAAAATATTAATTGTTGCGCTCACACAACCCAGGTTAGTGTAGTCAAATATTTTAAAAAATTATATTTTGTGTATATTTTATTCAAATTTTGTGCTTTATCCATAGGACCTGTTTTGTCCCTATTCTCAAGAATCACACACGTTCCTTAAAAGCATCATATTACTGCAGTTGTTTCACCAAATTGTTACTCTAGAGGGCGCCGTTGCATCTATACACACTGCTGTCAAAGCATCCTAACTTTCAGAACCTGGTCTGAAATTGACCTTTTATTTATTTATTTATTTGTTCGTTTGTTTGTTTGTTTGTTTGTTTGTTTGTTTGTTTATTGTATGTGGGTGGACCGCCACAACCTCAAATACTGACTCACAATCTGTGCTAAGATGCTTCTTAACAGCTAACAAAAAATAAAATAGGCTGTCCACTTACTTTGTAACACATATTATGCTGAATACCGAGGTGTGTAAATTAGCAAGCACATGACAAGATAGTTGAATGCATTACATTTAAAAGATATATATTTTTAATTACCTTAAGAAAATCTTGCTGTTAAAAAATCTCAAATGACCCACAGCTAAATTTTCTTTGGACCAACATGGCTTCTGTTATGCAAGAATGAAACTTAGTAAGTTTCAGGAAGACTGAAACCATTTGGTTGGTCAACGTTATTGTGAGCGTTTATCATTTTTTAATTTATTTTAAACTGATTATCTGTTAAAGCTGTTACTAATATATGAAATAATATAAATGAGTTTCCTGATTAAATCACCTCATTGCTTAGAATCCTGTTATTTGACGCTTGTCCACGAGAGGTCGTCAGCGACCTACTCTTAAAGTTTAATTGACCAGAGAAGAAGGTGAATGTCGAAAACAAGGTCAGATTAAAAACATCTTAATTGAGCTAATGGGGGAGATGTTTACATGTTTAGAGTGAACAACATGTCTAATTTTCACCAGTATTTACCTGCTGTTAAAGGAAGCACCACTCCAACATGAGATATTGTTTATTATTCTGTACTTGTCAACCTAATACGCGCCTTGTCATGAGCGCCATCTCATTTAATTATATGTAGCATATACAAATAAACACAAACACAACAAAAGTTTTGAAGAAAAAGGAGAAATATTATAATAAGATTCATCACTCAAACATATTGTAAGTTTCATTTAACTTTTGGTGAGGTGTCAACAAAATATGTGTTTATTTTTTTGGGATCTGAAAACTGGAAAAAATGTAGGTAGATGCTAATGACTAAAAAAAATAAATAAATCTTTTTCATGATGTAGTAAAGGAGAAACATAAAAGCTAAAGAGTGGAGAACTTTGACTCAACATAATAGATTTCATTAGAGACAATGTTTAAAGCCATTATACAACAAACAACAAGATTAGTTAGTTTTTCATCCTTTACCCAGGTTCCTTACAACAAAAGCAGCCCAGTTAAACAAAAAACTTGCTTACAATCTGACAGTAGAGTTATTTCTCTTCTGGATCAATGTTTCAGGATCCTGACAGCTGTTCTGGGTGGCAGCTCCATGCTCTGAGGCTGCTTTAAGAGCAGATGTTTTTCTCAGGCTGATCAATAAAGTATTTTAGAATTGAACTGAATTCTAAACAAATGAGGAAGTGAAAAATTAGTTTATTTAAATAAAAAACGTCAGACGTTTGGACAGTTCTCTCCATTGGACACATTTTCTCTCTTTCCTTTTAACTCTCATCTCAGCGAGACTCAGTCATGGGAACTCGTTAGGCAGACTCGTCAGACTTCACCTTCCAACGGTAGAGACCTCTGTCGCCGTCAGAACCCGTGTCCCGTCTCGGGGGGCCTCTGTCGCTGTGGGTCATCCCGCTCTGTGCATGTGTGGCTGGGGGTGATGCAGTCGGAGGCCAGGCCCTGTGAGCTGCTGCTCCATATTGTTACAGTTCAAAGGTGGCAGTGTGCTACACCCCCACTTCTCCTAATACCACCTGCTAATCCATCTGCAGGATTACTGTCCACTGTAATCAGTCATCCTCCAAACTGACACACCTCACGGTGCAGCTCCTGTCACTACACACACACACACACACACACACACACACACACACACACACACACACACACACACTATACACAAGAATATCTCGCATAAGAAGTTTATTGTGCTTTGGATCATCACAGTTTTTAGTTGAACAACTGTATCAGGTATGAGTAGCTTTACCAACCTTTACAGAATATGAAACACATATTTATGAAAGAAAAACATGTGAAAATCAAAAACAGTTTTAACAGAGGAACCGGATGTTCATGGAAAACCAGTTGGAATGATTTGGATATGCACCACTGAAGAGCCTGGACTGGATTCAATCTGCTGTATATGTCGGCGTGATCTGTCTGGACTGAGGAATGGCATCGTGAGTTCTTAGGAAAACTCAACCAGTCTGAAGGAGAACGTCTGAAAATCAGCAAAATGAAAGAAAAAAATCTCTCCTTTCCACAAACTGTGTTAAAAATGTGATCTGACAGTCAGCTGAACGGATTTTCTTTGTGTGTTACTTTGATCTCATTCCCTTTCAACCTCCTCGAGTTCTTCCTTTGAACAATTCGATTTTCATACGGATACAGCTGCAGGCTTAATCTAGAGCCAGATTTACAGCTACAACATCTCGATTTAGGAAAAGTCTCTTCTCAGCATGATGCTGCCACTACCATGTTTCACTGCTTCATAATTATGCACCACTACCTGTCATTCTAAAGTCCCAATAACATAAAATATATTGAAGTTTGTCGCTGTATAATATGACGCAATGTGAAAAATGAAGTGGTGTGAATACTTTTTGTACTTCTTTGGCTCTCTGTGCTGGATTGTTGTCATTCTTCAGCCTCCTCAGTTTGGATTTTAATAAACATTAGTGTGTTTTTAATGTCTTAAAAATATATTATTTTGTATCAGTGTGTTGTTTGTTTACCCCAGTTCCCAAATGATTCAGTCAAATTTAGTTTATTATTCAAATTGGTTCAGAAAGTTAAGCCTCAAATTAGGAATAAAATTGCGGTTCTTTAAAAATGACTACATTTCCTATCATTTCTCCAAAGTTCTAATTATAAATGGTCTTAATTAATTAAATGGTGTTTTGGATTGTAACAGTTGCAGACCCCTGTGTTAGACTCAAGAAGGATGAATACATAGAACCATTAATATAACAGTTGTGTGCTTAAAAATTATTTTCAGTCAAATCAAAGTTGATTTTAATCTCTGTGCTGCCAAAACACATCAATGTGAAAAGATGCTCAAAATTATTTGACTTTAAGAAGTTCTCATTGAATGCGGTGGCAGCTATTTATGGATATTTTAACTGTTTGTCAATGGGTTTATACTGCCACGACCGACCTTATGGTCTCGATCTTGATGTGACCCAAAATGAAAACAAGTTTGACATCCATGGTTTAGAGCCATGTAGACTCTGCATACGTCCTATACTGAACGCCGCTTCAGTCTCTATGGAGACGACAGAGTGTTTTAAGAGAACAAGGCTTGAACAGAAAAGAACAGAGTGATTTAAATCAAGTCATTCCAGACATCAGCCTTGTTCACATATGTTGGAGAAAATGAACTGGTCCCAAACTTGCATAAACTTGTCATATATTTTGTTTCTCGTACAGCTTTTTGGTTTAGCTTTAATAAACTAAAGAATAAAACTCATCTGGTTCTGGTTCTGCTGGAGATTTCTTCCTGTTAGAGGGAAGTTTTTCCTCTCCACTGTCGCTGCATGCAGGCTTGGTATGAAGAACTGCTATAAAGTTACTGACACGATGCAAGCGACTGACGCTACGCGTTCATCCAGGAGGAGTGAACGCTGAAAGTCACTGACTCCACGCAACCTGCTGGGCTTCCGTAGACAGAAAACTTTTTAAAGTAATTTGAATAATTAATTGAGATGACTTTACTGATTGAGAATGAATGAGCAGCTCGGTGAACCGGGCTGATGTAGTGAGGATCCCCCCGCCTCTGAGGTGGACGGGAACGCGTCGATGTCGGCTGCCGCTGCAGCTTCTCCCATCGTGGGAGCAGATTTATTGACGAAGGGAAATCTACAGGTCATGTGGAGATTTCTGATGACTCATCAGATTAGACATGCAATGGGACATATTCATCATCATCATCATCATCATCATCATCATCATCATCATCATAATCCACTTCATCTCACTGTGGGACCGACTCTCAGTTCTGTCTTAGTTTAAATGCTGGTTGCTGCAGCGGGTCTGACTGGTGCGGCTGTATGGGGAGTCGGGGGGGCCTGGGGTACTGGCAGGCTGTGGGTGGCACCTGCCTTGTACAGAAGAGATTATTACTGTGTGTGTGTGTGTGTGTGTGTGTGTGTGTGTGTGTGTGTGTGTGTGTGTGTGTGTGTGCGCGCGCGCGCTGTGAGTGATTGGGGCTGACAGCAGCCTCTGTATTGCTGGCTGGCCTGCAGATTTAGCCGACCTGTTTTAGACGCTCTAATCTGGATTAACTGCAGCAGTGTGTCAGTGGGGACGAGGACCAGAGTCCCCCCTCCCTACACACACACACACACTCCGCAACCCCACCAGCTACCACCAGCCTCTGCCTCTTCACCTTCTTTTCCTCCATCCCTCCCTTCTCTCCTGGTGCCGCCCGGTTCTGGACGTTTTCAGCCCCTCAGCCCAGCTTCATGGGGGCAAGGGATTAAACCCACTCTGTCCTCTCGACCGCTTCCCCGTTTGCTGTTAGGATCTATCAAGTAGATTTCACTGGTATAGTCAAAGTGGTTTCTTAAACCTTTACGGTAACTTTTTTTTTATCAGACTGAAATGAGTCAGATATTTTTAGTTTTTTAAATCCCATTGCAACACGTTTGCAGGTACTGTTGGGCCTTGTATTTACAATCGTACATCGTGGTAGGCTGAGGTTGTGAAAATGGGAAAAAAAAAACAGAGACATGAAATTAATTCATCAAAGACTAAATCAAACCAGTTCTCACATTTTAAAGCTTCAAACAGGACATGCTAGAGGTGGTCGGATCCTTCCAAAATATCAATAATATTGGTACCAAATCGATATCAGTATCAGATCGATACTAGCTTGATAAGACTGATATAGTTTTAGATTCCATCTGGAATTTTTTTCAATTTTGTATTTTCATTTCTCGACTCTCAAACCATTTTGTAGTTTTGATTTGCTCTGAAACAATAATATTTTGCACTTTGTTTAGAAACATTGCACACAAATCATGTTAATATGCTGTTAAAGCTTTCCTTTGTAAATGCCCAAAAACTTTATCTAAACCTTGTAAGTTGGAACAAAGTACATCAGAGAAAAATACACCCGGGGGTCAGAACTTTGATGATAAGTGAAACTTAAACACAAAGTATTGGTATCAGTATCGGTACCAGGGGCCGATGTATTTACTTGGTGTCAGATCATTTCCAAAACATGCAGGATGGCACACATCTGGTTCATACACAAACATGGATCTCACACACACACACACACACACACACACACACACACACACACACACACACAGTAAACTTACATGAATGTCACATTTTCTCACTCTTCAGCTGTTCGTTATCCTGTCCCGTTTCCCTTCATCACCCTGAATCCTTTTTCCAAATCTCCTCCCATCCCCGCATCCTTTTCTTCTTTCCCTCCGGTTCTTCCCGTTCGTTCTCCTCTCCGACCCGTCCGTTTTCCTGGAGCTGCCGTCGTCCTTTCAGCCTCTTTCCTGCTCCACCAACTGAATGGATTGCTCTGTCTTTCCTCTCTTTATCTGGAGATAAGATACTTAGTTTTCAGATAAAGCATATTATGATAAATCAAATGAGCTTTATCGCTTTGGTGCATCTGGGTGTTTGTGTGTGTAGGTGTGTGTGTGTGTGTGTGTGTGTGTGTGTGGAGGGGGGGAATTTAACACGTCCAGCTGTTTTGGAGATCCATATTGGTGGTGAGGTGTGTGTGAAGGTTTACTGGATTATTATTTATGCAGATGCATGTATAAAATTATTAATGTTGACACCTGAATTATTGAAGTAAGCTGATATTCATTTATACTTCTAAGGATGCATTTGTGACAATTCAAGCTTTCCATATTCTGCTAAAGATCAAAGCCTTGCTATAAGTTCAGATTTTATTACAACATTGTCTCTGAAATATTTAGAAAACATTCATGTTAAGGACATTTACTGTAGGTAGTAGAGAAAAAAAAACTTCATGAACTAGGGGTGGGCGATATTTACTTAAAATGTTATCATAGTGTTTTGTGGTACTATTGTGATAGCGATAAATGTGACAATAAGAACTATTTATTCCCACAAAAACAAACAGTGTTCTTGAAAAACATATCCATTTGTAATACGGTTCTTTAGGACACGAGCCACATAAGAATAGTGATTTCTATCACTAAACTGCACACAGTAACTGCATTTAATATGTTTTCAAATTTATTGATGTTCTCATTGAACTAAACAGTGGAGAAAACTGTAAAAAATAAAATAAATAACAGTGCTAACAATATGGACAGTTTTCTAAATGTGATTTGGAATTTATTGTGGAATTTATTCTTATTATGACAAGAAGCGTATCATGATAAATGATAAATGATAAACAATACGATAAATGCTGACCCCTCTCAGGAGCAAAAAAATAATCAGCAGAATCTCTGCATTTTACAATTATTGTAATCCTATTAATACTTTTCACAACCCACTCCTGTAATGTTTGACATGTTTGGGGCTTATGGAAAAAGTTTTCCTGGCTGCGGGCGGTTTCTAATGGTTGCTATGGAGACCTGGCGGTCCCCACATGCCACCCTTTGCTGCATGTCTCTAAAAGTTTTGGAGATTTTATTTGGCCTCTCTGGCAGTCCTGTTTACTACTCATGTTGTCAATATGAGCATCACGTCACATCCCAGGGAAACAGGAAGTTGTCGTTTGCTAATCAAAAGCTATTAGAGGCAACTTTAAAAAGACAAACTAATAAATTAGTGTAAAAGAAATATCAAAACTGACTTTTTTTTCTCCTCCCGAATGAATGTAATTAAATTGAAAAAAAAACTACATTTCTCTTCTGTGATGCTATAGGATTAATTTAAAAGACTTTTTGAACTTTATTAACAAATATGCCAGCAAATGTAACCCTGCAGCTCTGTATCGAAGTGGTGAATCGATTATTCATATCAAATCTGAGTCTGGATCTGACTCCTGGGTCCGGGACTTAAAACACTTGATCCAGTTCTGCAGCCTGTGTGCCACCTTGTGTGCGTGTAGTGTGGGAGGGGTTTGCGGCTGCTGTCACTTGCTCCCTCTAATTAGCAGAGCGTCCTGGAGAAGAACCTCAGAGCCGCGACGCGTCGGAGGCGCAGAGGGATCCCGGGGGCCACTTTACCTGCGCGGTGCCTGTCAGTCCGGATGCTCTGCGCTCCCTTCCGTCCTCCGCTGCTGAGCCCATTCTCGGCTCAAAGGGCGCTTTAAAAAAAAAAAAAAAAAAAAAGGAAAAACAGAAATCCCTGTTCACGTTTCTCCTGCGCGTCCCCGCGTCGCTCAGCGCGCGGATCCCGGCAGACGCGCCGACCGGGTTGCGCTCCGAGGGTCCCACAGCTGCCGCGCTGCGCTTCCGACCTCCAAGTCAGCGACAGGACTTGACAAAGCTGCCGGAAGGATGATGTCCTACATAAAACAACCTCATTACACCATGAACGGGTTAAACCTGCCCGGTCCCGGGATGGACGTGCTCCACACCACAGTCGCTTATCCCCGTGAGTATGACCTGGAAGTTTTATGTTTTGTGTTTTAAAATATTTAATAATGTCTAAAAAAAAAGACTCTTTTGTTTGTTTTGCTTTGTATTATACGCCCTAGTGACGCGTAAAAGCGCGCAGGTTGGTGCGCAACGCTGCAGCCAAAACGAGGATTAAGAACAATAAAGAAACGTTGCTTGATGTTTGTGTTGACGAAGGTTTATTATTATTGTGGACGGGTGTATTTGGTGTAACATAGACTTCGGAATACAGAACAACCTTTCTACAGTAAGTTTGGTGGAATGGGATTCTTTAGGAGTCCAGAGTGTGGAAAACGGGCTGCTTTTAAGATAAACTTACTCTGTCTGATGATTTTTACTACTATATTATTATTATTATTATTATTATTATTATTATTATTATTATTATTATTATTATTATTATTATTATTATTAGTCTCGCATGCTGACAACAGTATCGGACATAATTCAAACAAAATCCTCTGACTTTTGACGGATTCCTCTCATCACGCGAGTAAAATGTGGCGGGAAAACTTGAAATATTCCCTTTGAGTTTGTTCTACCGCAGCAAACAGGTTAGATTAAAAATACACCTGTAAATATAAGTTTTTCCTGGTAAATGACAGTTTGTCACGATTAAATGTCTTTGTCGTACTGAGAGACAAAGTCCAACCCGATGTGTTGGTCTGTTGGCACCCTGACGCACTTTTTATTTTATTTTATTTTATTTTATTTTTATTTATTCAGCGGTTGAGTTTGTTGCGTTATGATGATATTCAAAGCCACATCTCTATCATATGTTGTCAACATATTTAAGTCCGTGTCTCCCGTTTCGGCAGCCACTCCGCGGAAGCAGCGCCGGGAGCGCACCACCTTCACTCGGACACAGCTGGACATCCTGGAAGCGCTGTTCTCCAAGACCCGGTACCCGGACATCTTCATGCGGGAGGAGGTGGCCCTGAAGATCAACCTGCCCGAGTCCCGGGTGCAGGTACACGCAGCCGCGCCGCGCCGCGCCGCTTTCTGCCCGGTGTTTCCAGTCAGAACTTGTTTCTAACCCGCCGGGCCTCTCTCTCTCTTTCTCTCTCTCTCTCTTTTTCTCTCTCTCTCTCTTTTCTCTCTCCCCCTCTCTCTCTCTCTTTTTCTCTCTCTCTCTCTCTCTTTTCTCTCTCTTCCTCTCTCTCTCTTTTTCTCTCTCTCTCTCTTTTCTCTCTCTCCCTCTCTCTCTCTCTCTTTTTCTCTCTCTCTCTCTCTCTCTCTTTTCTCTCTCTTCCTCTCTCTCTCTCTCTTTCTCTCTCTCTCTTTCTCTCTCTCTCTCTCTCTCCGCGCTTCCAGGTGTGGTTTAAGAACCGCCGTGCCAAATGCCGCCAGCAGCAGCAGCAGAGCAGTGGCCAGTCCAAGCCTCGGCCTCCAAAGAAAAAGGCCTCACCAGCGCAGGAGCCCAGTGCTCCCAACCCAGTCCCCAACCCGTCTGGTTCCTACAGCCCCTCCTCGGCTCAGTCCGCCGGGCCCAGTCTGGCCCCCAGCTCCAGCACAGGAAACACGGCCGTGTCCATCTGGAGCCCGGCCATCTCCCCCCTGCCCGACCCGCTGGCCTCCTCCGCCCCCTGCATGCAGCGACCCTCGCCATACCCCATGAGCTATGGCCAGCCCTCGGCCTACACCCAGGGCTACGCCAGCACCACCTCCTACTTCACGGGCCTGGACTGCAGTGCCTACCTGTCCCCCATGCACTCGCAGCTGTCGGGCACCGGGGGCGCGCTCAGCCCCATCACCGTCCCCTCCATGGGGGGCTCTCTGAGCCAGTCCCCGGCCTCGCTGTCCTCGCAGGGCTACAGTACCGCCTCCTCCCTGGGCTTCACCTCCGTGGACTGCCTGGACTACAAGGACCAGCAGGCCTGGAAACTGGGCTTCACTACCATGGACTGCCTGGACCACAAGGACCAGAACTCCTGGAAGTTCCAGGTCCTCTAGGAGGCGAGGAGGGGCGTCCCTTCATGAATGTGTGTGTGGAAGTGTGTGACTTAGTCCAGCATGAGAGGGCAGGTTTCTGCTGTTTCCTGTTTGTTAGGCTGTTTGTTGTTTGTTTTTTTCGTCTGAGTGTGAACAGGAACAGACAGAACTGGAAGGCCTGCCGGGAAAAACAGAGTGTCTTTAGTCAGAGGCTTCTTCAAATTCACTGTAACACAGACTGCTACAGGAGATATCTCCTGCCAACAGCCATCAACATCTGCAGTGACTCTGAAGAGTTTGAATTAATATGATTTACAACATTTAATTTCCCCTCTGGGATCAATTAAGTATTTTTGAATTGAGTCTTTGGACAGTCGGTCCTCCTCATGTTCATATACAACCTACGACCTTTGACAGACTTGCAGGGTTAAAGGTCACACGCTGTGTGTTTTAAACTCGCATTGTGATGAAGGAACTGTAGGCTGCACCTCCTTTAAGGTTTTTCTCAACTATTTATTATTACTATTATCGTTATTTTATGCTACGTTTAGCTCTGTCGTTTGCTTTTATTTATTTTTGGGACATTTATGTTTATCAGTGTTGGTGTCTAGTGTTTCAGTCTGTTCCATAGGATAAAACAAATGTTCTGTTTTAGCTGTGTTGATGTATTAAAGTGGTTTATTCTTTACTCGTATGGGTGTGTGTGTGGGTGTGTGTGTGTGTGCTGAAGCTCATTGAGGTGAGTTGTACAGTTTGGAAGTCTTGTTTCTCAGGTCAGGGGGTCAGCTGCGAGGTGGTCCTGTCCGGTCTGCAGACGACGTCGTGTCGGCGGTTCGGCGCCGCCTCGCTCTGCTCCATCTTGGTTATTTTAGTTGATCTGATTCTGGGAGTGTCCCAATCCTCTTAGCCTCCCTTCAGCAATGCCCTAAGTGAATTAGTTGGGATTATTGCCCTATCCCCCTCTGCCTCTCACCCACCTCAACCTTTTCCACCTCCTCCTCCACCCGTGGCTCGCTCCTTTTATCTCTCCACCTCTTCTGTAGAACTTTTTCCATTCTGCACTCTTGGCTTTTCCGCCGTGGAAAATGTGCGACAGGCCAGAGTTAAACGCGGACCGTCTTCATCGGGGGGTTCTCTGAGGTTCCCCCCTGTCTCTCCGCCCTCCCCCGTCCTCCACGATGCTCCGCAGCTCTTTGGACAAGTTGGTAATCCGCCCGTGACCTGAATACTACATAAACAGAGCTATGATGACATCGAATATGCCGAAGGATTTTGGAGTGGTGTGCTCAAAAGATCATTTTAGTTCCATAGTCGTGGATCGATTTGTGTTTTTAAATTTAAAGCTAATCTCCCAGATTTTACAAAACAGTCAGTGGATTTGATTGGGACTGAGGAAGATCAGGACTACAGAAGAAAGGAATTTATTTCTTACACATGAAGAAATGCGGCTTCTATCTTGTATTTCTGCTGAACTATCAGAAATCTGATGCGCGGTAGAAGTGAGTGTTTATCAAAGTACATTTCAAAGCACTTTTCTGACCTAATCCCACTCTGTGCTCTGCTTAATCCCCTCTGCCCTCCCTCTCCATGGAACGATTGTTTAATCCCTGCGTCTGGCTGTTCTGATTGGCTACCCTCCGCCCCCCCCCCCCCCCCCCCCCCCGGGGGGCGCGCTCCGCACAATTCCACCTC